TTCTTTAGTAGAAAACAAAATGGTAGAAAGATCAAGAGTAACTGTAAAGAGAACAGAATTTGAAAATAAGGACTTACAGAATCTACAATAGCTAAACCTAGAGAGGGGAAAGGTGTACACAAATACATACTTGCTTTTCTAAAAGGAGTAGCTGTCAGGGATCTCCACGCAGGCTGGAACGGATCTCTGCCCAAAGAATCCGGTTTCCTCGGACAGAAGGACTGAATCACCTTTATATACCCTTAAGTGCAGCATGTGCAGTTTTTCTTAGAAATAATAAAACAATAAAACAATAAAACAATAAAATGTTCCTGCCATTTCTTATCACATACAGCGCTAATCAAAATCCAGGGCATTAGACTGCCTTCAGTTTCGTTTTTTGCAAATACATAGTCCTCGACTAATGATCATTCGTCTAGTGACCGTTGCAAGTTTCAACTTAATTGAAAAAAGTGACTTGTGACATGTCCTCATACTTACAACCATCACAACATCCCCACAGTCACCTGATCCAAATTCCGGCACCTGACAATGGGCATATATTTATGATGCATGCAGCATTCTGGGCCATGGGAGTCCCATTTGCGATCCCAACTGGATCCCAACAAACAAACAGAATGGGGGAAGCCTTGCAGACACTGCAGCACCTAGCCCCGAAGCAAGTTCGATGGGCACAGTATTTTCTTCTTTTTTAAAAAAATTTTATTTATTCTTTTTTCGCTATTCAACAAAAAATAAAAACAAAAATGAAAAAATACATTTTTTCCTTTAACAGAGCTGTGTTATACATCTCATATATATTATTTACAATTTATTTACATCAGTAATCATATCTTTTTCTTTCTCTGTTCTAGCCAATTATAACATTTGTTCCATATTTCATAAAATTCTGTTGCCTCCTTGTCTTTTAATTCTAGCGTAAGTTTATTCATTTCCGCGCATTCTAGAATTTTGTATATAATCATATCATTTGTAGGTATGTTTTCGCCCTTCCTACACTGAGCATAAACTATGCGGGCTGCTGTTAAAATGTGCATAATAATGTATTGGAGTTGTTTTTCCATCTTTAAATTTATTATACCCAAAAGAAATAGTTCCGGTTTGAGTTCAATTTGCATCTTAGTATCTCCTGTATCCAGTTCCTTATCCGTTCCCAATAGGTCTTTGCTTTAGGACACAACCACCACATGTGATAAAATGTTCCTTCCTTATATTTGCACTTCCAGCATTCCGGATTCATATTTTTGTACATTTTGGCCAATCTCGCCAGTGCTAAATGCCATCTATAGAACATTTTGTATTGATTTTCCCTATATGCAGTTCACAGTGTCAGTTTGCCATTTATGTTCCATAATCTTTCCCATTCTTCCAGTTTTATATTTCGTCCCACATTTCGTGCCCACGCTATCATTGGTCCTTTCACTATTTCTTCCTCTAAATCTACCTCTAATAAATATTTATAAGTTTTTGTTAAAAAATTTCCTTCCTTACCTGTTAAAATTTTATCCAATTGATGTGGGGTCTGGTTTATTCCATGGGCACAGTATTTTCAACGGTTCCACTTTCGCCTAAAATATGTGCCAGGAGTAAGAACTTCATGGCGGACGCTCTGTCATGCATGCCCCAGTACAACAGCCAACGGGAGGAGGTAGTACAGGCCATTATGCCTCCCTTCACACAATCGGCTGCTCAGGTGGCCGCACGCAAACCGGCAGACAATTTGGTCCAGGAGCTGCAAAGAGCGGGCCAGAGTGACCCCTGGCTTCTGGAGCATTTGGCCCTCCTGACTCAGAGGTAGGGGTTGGCGTGGAAGGGTAACAGACTCTATGTCCTGCATGCGTTAAGACCGAAGGTACTATGTCAAACAGGTTGGTAACTTCGGGTTCCTCAAAACCCTACACGTGGTGAAGCACCAATTCTGGTGGCCCCGGATGAAGGCGGAGATAGAAACATATGTACGGGACTGTCCCATGTGTGCTACTACAAAGCCTTGCATGGGGAGGCCACCTGGGTTGCTGCAGTATGTGTCAGATCCATCACGGCTGTGGGAAGACATAGCCATAGACTTCATTGTAGAACTACCAGAGAGCCACGGTTGCACGGTCATATGGACAGTGGTTGACCTCTTCTCTAAAAAGACCCATTTCATCCCTTGCAAAGGGTTGCCATCTGCCTGGAAATTAGCAAAGATGTTCGTCTCACAGGTGTACCGCCTGCACCGGGTGCCCCGATAAATAATATCGGACCAGGGGTGCAATTTACCGCACGCTTCTGTAGGGAGTTTGTCCGCTCAATTGGGTCATCCCAGGGGCTCAGCTCAGCCTTCCACCCAAACATCAATGGGGCGGCTGAACAAGCCAATGCAATGGTTGAACAGTACCTGCGGTGTTATATCTCATACCAGCAGACGGACTGGGTTGACCTATTGCCATTTGCTTCAGTGGTGTATAACAACGCAGTCCACAGCAGCATCAGATTCACCCCTTTCCGGGTGGTTCATGGGGTGGATTTTATCCCGATACCCGAGTGCCCTCAGAGGGACCTTTCCCCCTGCTAACCCCAGGAGTGGATAGACTGCATATGGGGGGCCTGGGGGACTATAAAAAGGGCATTAAATAAAGTAGCAGAGGCCTATAAGGCCCAGGCCGATAAGAAACAGGCTCCCCAAAAGCCATTCCAAGTGGGGGATATGGTGTACCTGTCTACCAAATACCTGCGCCTGAAAATACCCTGCAAAAAGCTAGGCCCAAAGTTTATAAGTCCATTCCTGATTGTACAGATCATTAGTCCAGTTGCTGTGAAATTAAAGCTGCCCCGTCTCTTGAGGAGAGTGCACCTGGTGTTCCATAGTAGTTTACTGAAGCTGGTGGAAAGGCTCCCTCAGGCAATTCCAAATGGGAGACCCAATCAGAGCTTCCTAGTAAAACAGGTAAACCACAGTTTCACTTTTAGGTGGGATGTGTGTTTTTTGCTCCCGCGGGGCTGGAGTGGAAGCTTTCCAAAACTTTCTGTATAGTTATGCCATTATTGTTAACATTAACAATATCTAAATTTAGAAATCTAAATCTATAGTATCAAAGGGCTGGAATTCTGTGCATGCTTAGAGGACAGTGAGCAGCCATGCAGCTGTAGGAAATTAAACCAAATTGAAATCTTCCTTCAGTCTCTGAGGTGAGTATTTGCTTTCTACGTTGCCTCTGAGCGTGGATGGTCTGGTGGTCCCTGGCCTCTCCAGCTGCTGCTCCTCTGGCCCACATGCCCTCCATTCGCCTTTCGCTCCTGCCAAGCCTAGAAGAAACCACCATCGTTCTGTCTCCTTGCTCTGTCATCCTTTGTTTATGCCTACAAAGCCTACATGCCAGCCAGCAAGACTTTTCCCCCCCTGCAATTGCCAATGTGCCGAAGTTATATAACCTGCAGTGAGACCAAGAGAAAATAAATTATGCCTTTGTCATTTGACCTGAACTTTCTGGAAGTTCATCCTTCTACAAACACACTCCCATCCTTGGCAAAAGCATCTGGTCCCATTTTTTTCCACTTTTAACCCAAACCCAAGAAGACCTACCTTCTTCCCTTCTTCCCAGCAGAGAGAGTCCAACACTTCATTTCAAGTGAATAAAGCCAGAGTTGTGGGTGACTAGGACAGTGTTTTTCAACCTTGGAAACTTGAAGATGTGAACTTCAACCCCCAGAATTCCCCAGCCAGTGTGTGTGGACGTCAACAAGCAGCATGCTGGCTGAGGAATTCTGGGAAATCTTCATTATAATAATTAATACCATACCTCAGAAAGAATGAAATGAGTTTTTTAATCATATTTTTGAAAAGGATTATGAATACTTGAGCTTAATAGCAAAATCTCCATTTTATTTATCATTGTTAAAATAGAAAGAAAAAAGACCAAAAGGAAAAAAAACAGGAAAAGAAAACAATCACCCCAAACAACAGAAATAAACATTTAGTTTTTGACTTCCCCTGAAAACATTTGTAGACAGAGAGATACTTATTTGCTCCTAGGAGATTCAGGCACATACTTCAGTTGGAGAATCACTAAAAGAAGCAAGAAAACCAGTAACTGCAGAGAGGAATTTTAACTAGACGTTGAAATATATTATTACTTTCTTCCCCCTATTATTGTCTGGATGAAATTATCTCCTTCAAAGGGGGCTTGGTGGCTCCTTGGATCTTTTGCTGGGACTTCGGTCATTTAAGAAGCTTTGATCGAACACTTCGGGCGTCTTCCACAGAATTGTCAAGAAATTTGTTCAGAAAATAATACGTAAAAACAAATGAACTCACTCCACCAAACACCATCTCCAGATATTTCAGAGGTGATGGCATTACCCAAGGAGCAGACTTTACCAGGAGAGAAAATACTATCTGTGCATTGACTGTATTGGCTAATGGCCTTTTCTTGATCCCCGATCTCAGCTCTTCAAACACTTTTCCCGTCTGAAGTGCCAGAAAACGGAGGGACCCCTGGTCTAAGGCAAACACCCTCCAGAAACATTTCAGTGGAAGCATCAGAATTCCAATATAAAAAGCTATAGAGAGACCCACCACAGGCACTGCTCCACAAATGCAAGATACCAGCGCTACCTTCTTTATATAGGAATTCATGTGAATCTTTTTCTTCATCAAATTATTTTCTGAGAAAACATGCACAGCCAGGGTTAAAAGGTGCTTCTTGTAATCAGGAAGTTCGGTGGCCATTGTCTCTCGCAGGAGAGGGAATTCGTACATGTGTGCATGCGTGTTGGATACCAGAAATACTCTCGTGGAGATCCCAGCTGCCTCCTTCAAGGTATCTTCACAATAACTCCTGATGGTCTCCAGGGTTTGCTCCATGTTGAAATTCCTTTTCCTCCTTTCACCATCGATACTGATATCGATTTTGCTACGCACAAAGTAAAACTTCTTTGTCATTCTTTGTATTTCCTTCGCGAGGAAAGCATCGTTTTCAGTAAAGCGGTCAGTGACAATCAAAACAAAGACATCATATCTTTCAAACTGGACCTTCTTGAGATATTCAGCTGCGTTAGAATTGCACGTTCTGATCTCTGGTAGCTCCCATATCATTGTATTGGGATAAGAAGGGTGGGGATATGCCTTTGGCTCTTTGGTTTTCTCTACTGTACCAACCTCGGCTGCTTCATCATCATCATCATTTATTCCCCGGAAGACATTAATGTAGGAGGATTTACCAGCACCTGCCTTTCCAACAACTGCAATATTAAGTGGCAGGTTTTGCGTTTTATTCAAGTATCCTCTGTATTCATCTGCCACGTCAGGGATACTGCCTTGATTCAAATCACTCTTTAAATCTTCAAATTCTCTTCTTACATCATATTTTGGAAATATATTGCCCATAGTTGCTTTTTGTTCTGCTCAGGTTATCTGGAAATGAAGAGAGAGATTGTGATTCTTTTCAGTTGTGTCATGACTCTCTGCACATTCCCTATAGTCCCTAGTAAGACCACCTCATCTTCTGAGGTCATTCTGGTCTATAGGTGATTAAGTTAAAACTAAATATATCATGGAAAAGTACATTGGTACCCCATCTCCATATCATCAGCTTTCCCAAGTTCAGGAAGACAGGAGTCCAGGCAGTTTAGATGAATATATTGGTTTATTGTATGCTATAGCTCTCTACAAGGATCTGAACTACTAGTGGTCAAAGCGAGTTGGTGGTAGATAAGATTCAATGGAATTCAAGGTGGACTGAAGGTAGATCTCATGTGGGCATGAAGGGACTCAAGATTGATGACCCATTTCACCACTCCCTCAAACTCAGCCTAATAATCTCCTGCAGGCTTTTGTTTGAAGATTGCCAGTCTGGATAGGGCACAGTGGCAACCTTGTAAAATTGCTTCCAGTCTATTCAAGTTGTTGGTTATGGACCTCTAAAGCCCTACATGGAACGGGGCTAGGTTACCTACGGAGCCATCTTCATCTCATTCCATCAGCCCATCCCAACTAATAAGGCATGTTGTGGACCAGTCAGCTAAAGGTCATTCCAAAAGTCCTTTTCAAAAAGCAACTGGACTTTCTTGTTGTTTCTTGAAGACGTTTCATCTCTCCTGCAAGAAGCTTCTTCAGTTCTAACTGAATGGTAGGCATCTGGAATTCTTTGCAGTCATTGGTCGTTAACACTCTGAAGGTCTCGTTAGCTCTCTGAAGATCCTTGAGGCCACTTGGGGGTTTATTTGTACTCTCAGAGTCACCTGAATCAGAGTGTATTTGGGTGTGGAATCTTCTTGGAACTGTGAAAGTATGGTGTTGTAGAGATAGGTGATGTTGTATGCCTCTCTCTGTGCTAACCGATCCTCAGAGCGTTAATGACCAGATGACTGCAAAGAATATAACTCCTTCCATTCTTCACCATTCAGTCAGAACTGTGGAACCTTTTTGAAGAAAAACAAAGGAAATCTGGTTATCTTTTGAAAAGCATCTTTGGGACAACCATGACCTGGATGACTGAGAATCTCCACAGAGAGTCAGCTAAAGAATTCTGACTGGTGGGGTACAAGAAGAGAGCTTTCTCTGCCATGGCCCCCACCATTTGGAAGATTCTTCCCCACTGAAGGTGAGGCAGACCCCCCCACACTCTCCTGGGCTTCTGGAAAGGTGTAAAAACATGGCTCTGGGGCCTTGCTTGGAGTGCCCAGAGGATCACACAGCCCTGGAGCTGGCTAGTGTCCCGAAAGCCCTTGCACCATCTATTAGTTAACTTGCACACTGATTTAAATTCATCTTTGCCTTTTCAACTTTATATACTGTTTTTATGGTTTGATATTTTATCTGTACACCATGTAGGGTCCCTTTGTGAAGGAATGGGTGGTTTGAAAAGTTGAGAAACAAGCAAACTTTAGCTCTCAGGGGCAGGACTCAACCGAATAAAAATCTTCTTCTCTTCTGGGGTTGGTGTAGCCTTGCTGCCTCTGTTCCTCAGAGGTCCTGGAGCCTCCCTAAGTAGATCAGACCAGGAAATCAACTCCACAGCAAGGCAAGAATTACTTTCATTGAGATTGGCTATTCAGTAATAGCAGCATCTTGCAAATTTTGCTATCGCTCTACACCTCCATTTGAATTGGAGAGAGGCCTGCATGTCATGGCACAGATGTATCTGAATTGTGGTCTGCTGGTAAGAGCTGCTAGGGGACAAGCAGAGGCACCCTCAGCTACCTCCCTCTCCCATGGGTTTACAAGGACCTAGCTAGCCCATCTGGAGCAGAAACATGTTAGCCAGGCTGCATGGGGATGTACCTGGGTCAATGCAGCTGGCCGCCAGCTGCCTTTGGACAAGAATGTTGGCAACCCAGGAGGGAGGGCAATGCTTCCCACCCCCAAGACCTCCCTCCCAAACCCCTCTGGCACCTGGAATGTCAACAGTCCTATAAAATTTATGAAATTGGCAACCTGATAAGAAGTCAATCACACTACCCAGTGTGGGACATGAAAGACTACAGCAGGGGTAGTCAACCTTGGCTCTTTTATGACTCGTGGACTTCAATTCCCAGAATTCCTGAGCCAGCTTAGCTGCCTCAGGAATTCTGGGAGTTGAAGTCCACGAGTCATAAAAGAGCCAAGGTTGACTACCCCTGGACTACAGGCTGGTTGCCTCCTGTACTGGCCGTGGGAATCCTCCCAACGTAAATGGCAACTCCCATCTTGAAAAGTCCTTGGCACATAACTGGGTCTGTTGATCGGCCACTTTCCAGGTCACCTGGAGGGATTCTTCCAGTCCTGCCTGAATCCACCCAACTGCACAATCTTTTCACACCCAGGAGACAGCTTTGGGCTGAACACATCTCAGAAGAGCCGGGGAGACTCCTTGTAGCCCAACCTGGAGCCACCTCAGTTCTGAGTCCCCAGATGTACCTCCTGCTTGGTTGGAGGATTCCTTTCAACTTTTGTTGAAAAATAATTCAGCTGAGAGAAAGCAGAGGGGGAGGCAGACCCACCTGTCTGCCCCACCTTTCATTGAACCTGGCCAATTTTGGGCTGGGCATGTTCAGTTGGTCAGGCCAGAAAACAGAATTCACAAGAATGATGGGAACTCTACTTGGTTTAGTTACCGAATCTTGGAAGCCTGGTGGGACCTTCCCTCCCTCCCTTCCTCCCTTCCTCCCTTCCTCCGTCCCTCCCTCCCTCCCTTCCTCCCTTCCTCCCTCCCTCCCTCCCTCCCTCTTGCACCCAGGACATTTAAAGTGAGATCATTCTCTCCTGCTTCAATAATCCTTTCCCTCCCAGGGAGAGCCATTTGAGGCCCCAAAAGCTTTTTTATGGAAGCCAGCTTGGCATAAAAGGAAGGCCAGAGTTAGATTTAAAAAAAAATGTGGTTTTTTTGCTTGATATCTAATGGAAGAGTTTTAAACTTTATCTAATGAGCTAAGGAGATTTTGAAAGATATTATTGGATTTAATAGTTAGATTTATACCTATAAGGGAAATAAATTAGTTATTTAAATATTTTTTTTCAACTATAAATAGAAGATGGATTCAGAGGATAAAGGTTATTTTATGAGTAAGCGATGATATTAAAATGAGAATTAGAATATGATGGTGAAATAAATTAAGAATTTATTGGAATAAACAATAAGTGTATCTTAGAGATGATACTATTTTGTATGAATTAAGGGAACCGTGGACTATTTGAAATCTAAATATTATTGGACAGTAAGCCAACGCAAATACTCTAATTGAAACCAGACAAAAGTTAAAAACAGGATTTGGGGATATATAATCTAAAAGCTGTTTATAAATGTTTTAAATGATTGAGTTATAACTAGCAACCTAACCCATTTGAATTTGTTAGAATGATTAAGGGGAAGAGAGGAAATTTTTGATGATGTAAACTGATATATGTATGGATAAGCGTGTTATTGGATTATGTATTACCCAACCGCCATGTTGCTTCCTTAAATACCTGAAGGTTTGTAAAAATGGAAAATTAATAAAACTTGTTAAATAAAAAATAATAATCTCTTCCCTCCCCTGTCCAGCCAGTGGCTCCCATTACAGCATCCCTGAGAAATGTAACCCCTTCAGAAGAGGCAATGAGGCAACTGGACTTGTTTTTCTTTGAAGACATTTCGCTTCTCATCCAAGAAGCTTCTCCAAAGAAAAACAAGAAAGTCCAGTTGCCTTGTGGGGGGAAAAAAGCATCTTTGGATCTTCTTGGTCTAGTTACTGGAGCTTGGAAGCCTCGTGGAACCTTCCCTCCCTCTCTCTTGCACCCAGGACAATTTAATCTCCTTTCTCTTCTGCTTTAATAATATTTCCCTCCTCTCCCCTGTCCAACCTGTGTCTCCCATTACAGCATCCCTGAGAAATGGCTGTCTGGTCAGCGTCTTCAGAAGAATCTTTGTGATTCAAGCTAATTTCCTCCCTGCCTTGAGAGAGTTCTTGCTTCTCCTGTTCTCAGCCAAGGGACATTGAAACCTCTTTGTCTCAACTCCACAAAGTATTTGTTCCTCAGTTTGTAAAGGAGCTGACACACGTTACGGTGGATAAATTGCAATTTAGTCCAGTGGCTTCTAGCAGTTTCTCTGACGTTCCCCCTTCAATTTCATTAACCAAAACCTGCGTTCAAAGTTTTATTTAAAGTTCTTTTTATTAATACATTAATGAGATATCTCAAGCGGAGTATATTGTGAGGTTTTTTTCATATTTTTCAAAAACCGTTATGAAATATGCATCATCGTATCAAATTCTCTATTGCTTTTGTTATTTAGAATGGTTACAAATAGAACAGAACAGAAAGAAAAAGAGGAAAAACAAGAAAAGAAAAGCAACTACCCCCAAACAATATAGATAAATACTTAATTTCTGAGTTCCCATCGAGATGCCTGCGATAGAGGTACTCCTTTCCCCTCAGGGTGATCAAGCACATGTTTCAATCAGAAAATACTTAAAAACAAGAAAATAATAAGACACTGAAACATTATTATTTTCCTCCACCTGTTTCATTTGGATGAAATGCTTGACTGTTTCTTTCAAAGAGGCTTTTAAGAGTTTTTTTCAAATTTTCCCTGGAATTCTGATTGATTAAGAAGTTTTGCTCGAACATTTTGGGCGTCTTCCACAGCATCATCAAGAAAGCTGTTCAGAAAATGATAGGTGACAACGTATGAACTTGCTCCACCGAACAGAGAACCAAGAACAGGTACAAAATCAAGAGCCAGTTCCACAAGTGACACAGCTACCCAAAGAGATGACTTCATCAAGAGAGAAAATACCAGCTCTGCGTTTATTGTATTGGCTAACGGGGTTTTCTTGATAGCCGACCTCAACTCTTCAATTTCTTTTCCTGTCTGAAGTGCCAGAAAACGGAGGGACCGGTCATCTAAGCCAAACACACAGCAGAAACGTCTCAGGGCATCTACCAAAATTCCAATATCACAAGCCATAGAGAGACCCGGGACAGGCACCGCTCCACAAGCAGCAGATACCAATGCTATCTTCTTTATATAGGCTTTCATTAGCTCTTTTTTCTTCATCAATTCACTTTCAGAGAAAATATGCACAGCCATTGTTAAAATTTGTTTCTTGTGGTCAGGAAGTTCACCGGCCATTGTCTCTTGCAGGAGAGGGAAATCATACAAGTGTGCATGATGGTTGGATATCAGAAATACTCTTTCAGAAAGCCCAGCTTCCTCTTTCAAACTATCTTCACAGTATTTCCTGATGGCTGACAGGGTTTTCATTTCATTGAAATCCCTTTTCCTGCGTTCATTCTCAATACTCTCATCAATATGGGCACGCACATAATACAATTTCTTCTTCATTCTTTGTATTTCCTTTGCCAGCAAACCATCATTTTCAGTGAAGCGACTGGAGATAATGATAAGGAAGACATCATATCTTTCAAACTGGACTTTCTTCATATATTCTGCTGCCCGAAATTTAGGCGTTCCGATCCCTGGAAGGTCCCATAACATAATATTGGGAAAAGAAGGATAAGGATATGCCTTTGGCACTTTGGTTCCTTCTATTGTTGCAACCTCAGCTGCGTCATTATCATCATCCATTACTCCTCGGAAGGCATTGATAAAGGAGGATTTACCAACAGCCGCATCTCCAGTAATTGCAATATGAAGGGGCAGATTTTGCATTTCATTTAAACATTGTTGGTATTCAGCTGCCACTTTGGGGACATTGCCCTTTTTCAAATCACTCCTTAAGTCTTCAAATTCTCTCCTTAGATTATCCTTTACAGCTAGATTGCCCATTGTTACTCTTTGTTCTGTGCAGATTATCTGGAAAGGAAAAGAAACATTGGGAAACCAGCTATGTCTGGCACTTGGAATTTGGGTTGAAGTTGGAGAAGATCACCAAGAATATCGTGGACAGACAAGAAAACAAACCAATGGATCATCAAACGAATCAACCCAGAGTTCTCACCAAGGTGCAAATGTCCAGGTTCTATCCTACCTTGGACACATGATGTGAAGACCCAGCCCTCTGATAATGGGAAAAGTGGAAGGGAAGAACAGAAGGGGACAATGAGCAGCAAAGGGGTGAATTCAATTATAGTGGAACTGAATGCACCATTAGGACTCTTGAAAGAATATATTAGGGATAGGCGGTCTTGGAGAATATGCATTTATGGGGTCACTAGGGGATAAAATTATTTGATGGCATAAAATCAGTTAAAAAAATAAACCTAACTGGAGAAGGTGGATGACTTTGGAAAGAAAATGAAAGTGATTGATTTCATATCTCTCTGCTTGCCCTTCATGTCTACAAACCTTTAGTTACCAAATCTTGAAAGCCTGATGGTGATTTAAATCCCTCCCTCCCTCTAGATCCCAAGACAGTTAAGGAGGAATCTGTTTAAGCTTACAATAAAGTAGCATAAGCCATCTGATCATGTTTCCTATCTGGTCTAAATCCTAAAGGTCTTAAATCCTTCCAAAGCCCTGATGGCCCAGTGATTAGAATGCTAATGTTAGCAGGCTAACTCTCCATTCCCATCGCCAGCAGTTCGATCCTGACCAGTTCAAGGTTGACTCAGCTTTCCATCCTTCCAAGGTTGGTAAAATTGACCCCAAATTGTTGGGGTCAATATGCAAAAAATGCTTCTACATTGTAAACCTCCAAGAGACTGCTATAAAGCACTATGGACGAAATGTAAGCCTAAATGCTATTGCTATTGCTAAAGATGAAATCAGTCTTGCAAACTTAGAAGTAGTTCACTTCTCAGTCCCTATTTTTTTTTTACCAAAAAACTAGAGAGCGTCCCTTCTGTGCCTCTTGCTCCATTTACATTGTTACTGCTGGCTAAGTTGCCTTTTATCTGTCTGTTCTTTCTATTGTGTGTCAAGGCCAAGTTGTAATTGTATACTATTATTATTGGTGCCTTTGATAATTACACCAATATGCCTGGATGAATGTCCAAAGAAGGGGGGATGAAAAACCAGTCAGGGAAGGGAGAAGCTTTCCAGAAGTTCTCCTCCCCAACCAGAGAAAACCAACATCTTCCCCCCACACACCGGTGACACCACACAACCCCCTTCAAAACCTTTTTATACACCGGTATATACATATTCCATTGCTTTCCTTTCTTATTGAGAAAATATCTGCCTGGCCACAAACACAACCCAATCTATTTATTAACTGAACTAAAGTCCAGCCTAAAATCCAATGTTAAACCCAAAGAAGATATCAACAAACACAGGGGAGAAAAGTCTGATGCTTCTCTGGCTGATTCCCCAAAGCCATCCTCAAAAAAAATTGGGCCCGAAAATGAACTGGTGCCTTTCATAATTGCAACCACAATTCTGCCTGGATCAATGTCCAAAGAGGTGAGGTGGAGTGAAAGCCCGCCAGGGGAGCAAGAAGCTTTCCAGATGTTCTCCTCCTCAGGCAGACAAAGCCAACCCCTCCTCTTCAGATCACTCTACATCTCTGGCCGTTTGTTCTTTCTTTTGATACATACTCTATTCTCTTCCTTGAAGCCGTTTCAGCCATGGGAAAGAAAACGAAGGTGAAGAATTTCATATCTCTCTGTTTACAAACCTCTAGTTACCAAATCTTGGAAGCCTGATGGCCATTTCAATCCCTCCCTCCCTCCCTCTTCAACACAAGACAGTGAAGGAGGAACCAGTATAAGTTTATTTCTAACGCTCTCTTCCTCTCTGAAGTACTTTCAGACTTGCAAGGCATGGTTCATGTTACAACAGCGGAGGACAAACCTAAGAAAACCCAGTTATTAAGTATATCAAAAGTCCAGCCCAACAGTCCAGTGTAGACCCGAAGAAGGCACCACCCAATGCAGGGAAGAGAAATTTGTTGTTGCTTCTTTGGCTGATTCCCCAAAGCCACCCACAAAAAC